ATGCTCATCATCACCGTGTTACTTGGAGGTTACAGCCCCTCAGATCTGTCAGTAGATCTCTTCGCAAGAAGAGACTCACTAGCCCTCCTCCTCTAGCGTTTTTTTCAGCCAAAATGAGACAAGCTGGATTAAACTGTTTACCTAACTCTTTCCGAAGTTTGGCTCATTTGGACAGAAAAGGGTTAAGGATAATTCAGGAGAACAGCTACAGGTCCAAGAGATTTATCTGAATGGCCAGAAAACTGGCAAGGAGCAGAGGGCAGGCCAGGTCAGTGACCTCTTGGCAAGGCTGGATTCAAGAAAAGACTTCTGTCCACAGCCCAATATACTCATGGTGGTATAAACCTCTTTGCTAAAATCCAAAATTCATGGTGAAAAGAACTTTCTTGACAAATCAGGTTTAAGCCAAAATGAAAAAAAGAAAACCCCTTGCTCTTATTTTTAAACAAGTATCCCAGTGGGACATAGAACGATGCTGGTATAGGTACAGTGGTACCACTGACACAGTCAAACAGCAACTAGACTCCTCTCCAGTGTTAACTAGGTAACTTACTCCAGCAGGATGTGAACAACTGATTGACTTTTAATACATTCAACAGACATTTCAAGCCTCTCCCTTTTCCTCTGTCGTGATGGATGCTTCCCAAAAATCACTCCATCTGCTTCGAGAGCCCCGGCTGAGAACATGAGCAACTTCATGTCTGTAGTATCCCTGTTAATAGAGTGAACGGCCGCCTCATTTAGCCTGACCCAGGAAGAGAGAGATAAAAAGGGCTGTCTGAAGCTGGTGGCTGGCTTCCATCCGAGGAATACAGTTCACCGTCTATTGCTCTTGTGACTATTACTGAACCAGGCCAAGAAAAGCTCCCAAGTTTTGGCACGTCTCAGATTTTCCAGTCTGCACAAAGTCATGCCAGGAACATTTACTGAAGCAATTTCTTTCTTTCTTTAAAGACTCTAATTATGCACCTAACAATGTTGTAGAAATAAGTGTTGTACAAAATACCCCAGTACGGCTCAGGAACAGTTTTGCCGACAAAAGGATTAGAAGCTTAAGGCTCAGTGTTAATATTCTGAATGTACTGAAAGGTACAAAATGCAAGCTGCAGCAGAAACAGAAGGAATAGAGAGGTTATCGCTTCCAAAATCTGGAAAGGGAAAACCACATAGGAAAATGCCACACTAATCTTTCTGAATGGCAGCGATGCAGCAGAGTGGTAACAAGAAACATTCAGAAGTGGGCAACTCTCAAAGCTGTCTCTGAATTCTAAGCAGCTCACCTTCAAGGACAGCCCATTCCCTAAAAAATTAGAAGGTCTAGATATCCCAGAGGGCAAGATGCTACCTGTGAGTGAACCGATATTCACCACTCAGCAGCTACCAGCAAGAAGGAGTCAAACTGAACCCCAAAACAAAAGTTGCCTGAAGTGTCAGTTTTCTTTGAAACCAGAGCCAGACCTCAGTCATCACTCCCAAGTTTTGCTGAACTTACACTGGAATCAACCCAAAATGTTCACTGGTTTGCTGCCTGGACCATTACCTCTGAAGCCAGTCAAATAATTCATTTATTCACTCAAGCATGAACTGGCCTTTAAAACCAGATTTTGAACAAGATGGCTGTACATTTTTCTTACTCTCAGTTTGCAGGTGAGGCACAGAAACATGACAGTACTTACATCTGGGAAGCTATCCAGGTACTCCAAATTAGAGTACATTAGGCAAAAAGCAGGACTTAGCACTTTGGCCATTAACATAATGTTAGTGACACCGGTGAAATCACAAATCCAGGGCCAAACACACCTTGGCTATGTTTCTCTGGGTTACTGATCCCAGAAGGCTTTACTCAGACCAATGCCATCGCTATGTAACTGTTATTATCATTCATCTTATTGATGCACTGCTGTGTGCTTCCTTCCTACAGAGGTTTTGCTGTATATTGTCCAGAACCAGTTAAGGTTTATTTGGAATTCCTAAAAAAAAAAAAGAATAAACACGATTTGGCTTTTTCAGGACAGTGTAGGAGAGGATGAATGGAAATGCTCACTACATAAGTATGTCACGCCTTGGGAAGAAAGTATATTACGAAATAATCATGTACAGGCAGATGTGAAATGCTAGTCCATACTAAGCTCAGTTTCAGTCCTCTTGGTTTTCATGACAGCTGTGACTAGAGCTGGACAGTGCTGGATCACAACCACCCTGTCTCACCTCTGCTCCTCACCTGGCAGTTGCAGGGAGTTCACCGAAGAGCTCTGCATATGGAGACAGAGCAACAGCGATGGGCTCCATCCTAAACCCCACTCTTTGTCATAACCCGGGAAGCACAGTCCACGGGTGGAAGGCAGAAAAAGAGGGAATCAGACGTGTTATTTTTTTTTTTTTTTTTTTTTTTTTTTTGCATAGAGCCAAACTGCGATGCTCTAGGGTGGGTCTTGCCATCTGGGAGAAATATGTAGGGAGAAAAAATGCAGGCAGGGAGGATGAGCCGCCCCCCGAGCAGGACGGCTTCCCTCCGAAGGCAGGCTCGGCCTCCCTCCCCAGCCCAGCTTGAGTTCATTTTCCTCAAATCACTTCCACATTTCCCCTGCCGTAATTATCAAATATTTTGTTTATGACTTCACTTTTTAGGGAGGCCGCCGCAACCGGGAACGCAGGCACCGTTTGTTTTCTGTCAACAGGGCTGGGGGGGTTGCAGCTGGGGGTTTTCAAAGGTTTTCAATGTCATTGCAGCGAAAAAAAGGAAGAAAAGAAAAGCGAGAGAAAGAGCACGCGGGAGAGAGGGAGGGTGGGATAGCGGGAGGGAGAGACGGAGGGAGGGAGGAGAGGAAAGGGGATGCCCCGAGGAGCCCGGCCCAGTGGCGGGCTGTGGGGGTCCAGCCCCGGCGGGGACGAAGCCCCCTCGCCCGCACCGAGGTGTCCGGCTGCCCCGCAACTTCCCTGCCCGCCCTGGCTGCCACTTTCCCCGCTCCCGGCCGCTCCCTCGCCGCGCTCCCGGTGCCGCGGAGCCCCCACTGCCCCCAGCACGTCCCGCCCCGTCCCGTCCCGCCGCCGGGGCCCCGCGCTTACCTCGGCTCGCAGGCGGGCGGCGGCCAGCAGGGCGCAGAGCAGCGGGAGAGTTTTCCAGATCTGCAAGAGAGGGAGCGGGGGGCGGTGAGCGCGGGCCGGGCCGGGGACGGCGGGGCCGCCGCGGCCGCCGAACTTCCCGCCGGGAGAGCCGCCTCACCATGCTGCGGGCGGCGGGCGGCACCGGCGGGGCACGAGGAGTTGCGGAGGCGCCTTCCCCGGCTCCGGCTCGCTCGGGAAGGGAAGGGGAGGGCTCCCCCTCGCCCCGACCCGCCAGCCCGCGGCTCCACCCCCGGCCCGGCCCGACCCCCGCCCCGGGGCCGACTCCTCCCCGGCCCCCGCCCGCTGCCCGCCGCCCCTCGGCGGTGCCCCCGTCCCTGCTGCCGCCGGCCCCTCGCCGCCCCTCGTCGACCTTTGAAGGCAGCCAAGAGCAGTGGGGAGTCCAGGGGACGGGGCTGCCGCCCCACACCGCTCGGCTTCACACCCCGGCCGGGCAGGACATGGGTCCGGGGGCGCTGCCCGAGCCTTGCGCTGGTGTGGGTTCGGGGGGAGTTGGAACAGCCGAGCTGCCCGCCAGCCCGGCCAGGAGCACCCCTGCGAGGGGTCGCAGCCGCCCCCCACATTGTCACAACAATGGGGAAACTGAGGTGCGAGGTGGCTGCTCCGCTCATCCACTCAACCCACTGTCCCCACATGCTCCAGCCCTCAGGCCACGCTGAAGTCCCGGCCACAGCTACAGGTGCCATCCGTGCTGGGATGTGGGGAGATTTAAAAGTAAGGGTTTAGACCCGTGTATGTTAGGATCCAAATGGCGTTGGCTGAGCAAAACGGGCTGTTATGCCTGGCACAGAAATCCTACCTGAAATGCCCGGCGGTGCTCATTTGTGTATAAATACCTGTGATCCTCTTGTTTAATCTCTTAATCTCTGAATTTCAGTAGTCTCCGGTAGCTAGAAGGAAGGATCTGAGAATGCAAAGAGACCGATCGCCCCAGGCTCATACAGAAATCTCTGTCACGGCAAGCAACACTATGATGCCAGTTGTCAGGGGCTTTTCCTCGAGTTTTGAGGTTTGTTATAACCAAAAATGACACTGCTGGCTTTGAAATACCATCTCACTGTGACCAAGCATGCCCATAAGCCATCTATCTTCTTGCCCTGCTTTATTCTGTGCCTTCAATGCAGACAGGCGACAAGGGAGATGCTGGCATGTGCACCCTCCTCATTCACCAAGACCAAAGATTATTCCAGCATCCTACTGGAAGGAGAAAACTCTGGGAAGAGTTATCCTAGATCAGCCGACATCTGGTCTGTTCATGGCAGCTGTGCTATTTTTCTGTGCTTCCTCAGGCTCTGCTTCTTCACTCAATTTTGGTTTTAGGACTACTGTTACTGATTTTGCATCCTTCCTGGCAAGTTCTGATTCTGTCTGTGAGTGGTATTAGCCTACAAAGCTGTCATGAAGAGATGTCTAATTATTTCACTGATGATGCTGAGCGATGTGGGTTTCATTGTTTGTTTGTTTGTTTTAAACTCACCTTTCAGGATGTACCTCTTTGTTTTGGAGTCATTGATTGCCTTGCTTCATGACACAGCGCAGGCATAGTCATGGCTGAAATCAGTTGGCCTCTAGTTTGGCAGAAGCATCATAGGACTGGGCTCACCCTGAGTCACTCTGATGTGAGTGCCACAATAAGAAAAAAACAAATGGCAAATGATAAATACATTTTAAAAGATTCATCAATTTCTGGCCCCTTGATGCTCAGCTCTGCAGAAGCTGTGCTACATGAGGAGGGGACAGGCTCTATTTCTAGAGAGTAAAAGTGACTCGTACCACTCTCGGGAACAGAGCACTAGCAGGGGTCTCCTGTGCCTGCATTCCCTCCCTGATACCATGGGCAGTCACCTCGTGTAAGTGTGATTAGCTACTGTGCTGGATTATGTAGGTCACCATGAGCATGGGTTTTTCTTCTGTGTACTCAAAAGGACTGAATATGAAACAGAAGGCAAAGGATTAACTCTTCCATTCTGTGTTTACATTCAGGTACATGAAAATGTGTTTCTTCAAGTTAGTTTCTATCATGTGGGAATGGGTAGAAGTGAAAACCAAAAAGCATCTCTCACACAAGCATGAGAGAGGGTGAGCACGGGACAGACGCCCACGAGGGGAGAGAGGCATCTGTAGAGCTACTCCTTTAAATCAGGTAAAACTTTTTTGTGCAGATGAGCCCTGACTATCTCTGATAGACTGAGGAGCGGGGGAAGGGGGAAGAACAACCCTTAGCCCTTTGCTGGAAAGATGATGACAGTGATGGAGCTGGAATTGTTTGTGGGAGTGTGGATGTCTGCCATGTCAGAGTCAGGGAAAAGGTGTGTTATCTCTTCCATCACAGACGGCACAAAACAATCACAGCACAGACACTGGAGCTTTAAGCTGTGTACAAAGGCACACATTTTATAACCAAATACATGATATCTGACAAATTGTTCACTTATTATTCTAAACCTTCACCATTTAAAACCGTAAACTGCAAAGAAACAGTTTGTACTATCTGAGTGCATGAGAAATAAATCTTTGGGAATCTTTGCTCTTCCATGATGGACACAAAACAGGGAACTTGAATCACAAGCACCAGAATAAGGGGAAAGCAAATGCATTTACAGTTGTGGTTTCAAGCTGTGGCCATAATGAATAAGGTAATTCATCATTGCTGTCTATACAACCAAAGTAGTATCATAAAAATGCTTTCAGCTAAAAGCTTCGTTATAAGGGTGAACGATGCTTGCCTGAAATTTTGCAGGTTGCAATGCTCTGGTGGGCCAAAGAAATTGGGAATCATTGCTCTACAGAAAAGATGTTATTCTATTACATACATCACTATTTTATTTCTGCTGACACTTACTTTTCAGTCACTGGTATTTCTAAAACAAACATTTCGTTATACATATGGGATTGCAAATTTTGAGATACATGCCCAAGTGGCTGCACAACTGAAATTCAGTAACAAACTATTGCCTGAGAAGCAGAACGAATGAAGCCTGGACTCACGCAAGTGTACATCTCATGGGTGGATACATTCTCTTCTGTTTAATAAAAGGCAGGCTCCAACTGAGGCTTTCTCCATTCTTGGGGCACTGCCAAGATCACTCCCCTGGATCTCTGGTGTCTCATGAGGGTTACTCTGAAGCCACAGCCTCTCCCTTATGACAGCACATGCACACATATACACCCAAAGTGATATTGTAAGCCTCGTTTCCCTGGGAAATGAGGCTAAACACATGCCAATAAATTACTTCTTAAGCCCTCACCCAGCCCTTGTGGCTATACCATGATATCACTCTCTCCACATTACCTCACCCCCATCCAACATGAAACATCCTTCATGTCTCCTCCTTTCCCCCTCCACATGAAACATCTACCCTAGGGTATGGGGTTGTGCTTGCAGTGCTGTGCTGAAGTCAGTGATCACCACGCCCGCACTGCATTTTAGGTGACAATTCAAGAAACCAAGTTGTTTGGCAAGTGGCCTGCATGAAAGGGTAATAATCTGTCCCACTGAAGATTAAGAAATTTGTAGCATTATTTGGTGGAATTAAGAAGCAGGGCATTATTTTGGAGTAGCAAATGTGTTAAGGTTGTAGCTGAGAAGGCTCAGCTCATGTGGCACCAGAGACATCCATGTTGTCTTGAGCTACATGAGCAGTGACACCTCATGGACCAGAGTGCCAGTGCCTAAAGAAGGGGCAAAGGACACCTGGGCTTTCACAGCAGAAACAGACCAAGAGTGCAAGATGTGAGGGGAAAGCCCAGGGCGGGGTTACACCCTCAAAGGTGTGAGCATCAAACCCAAATGAACTCTAGGGTGACGGCAAGGCTGTTGTGAGCCAGCCAGTCACACAAGGATCACCTGCACCATTTGTATTAATCATGATTCCTTAAAGCTCCATTTCAGAATTGATGTAATAAAGTGCCATACCTTCCCCTTTCTCCCTCTAGCAGATGTCTTTATTTTGCAGGTTGTGCTGGGGACATTGCTGACCAAAGGGCACACATGTCTGGCACTAGCAGGCCATGTGGCTTGTATAAAATGCATTCTTTAATGCCTAAATGTGTTTGATGGGATATTCCATTAGCTAGAGCACGAAAATGCCTAAATACCTTTGACAACTTGGCCCTTAAACTTCACCCTTGATATCCCTGATTCAAGGTGAAGTTTTCTAGCCTAAGACAAGCTCCCAAGATATCATTTCCTCACAGCCTTTATCCAGCCCCAGCACCTAGGTGCAATCACCCAGCTAAGCTGTGCCCATTAGGAGTGGGCACAGAACTGCACTCATGCCCAGCCATTGTAACTGTATTCACTTTGCATTTGCCACAGCCTGGCCAAGGGTAACTTGGTGTTCACAGTACCTCATAGGCTCAAACTACACTCAGATCCAAGTCATGGTGTCAGATCTGCCCCAAAACCTCAGTGTGGAAACAGTCACTCTGTCCTGAACATGCTTCTGTCTCAACATGTTCCTTGTGCCAGTTCACTCCAGGTGCTGCCAGACCGTGATGGAGCACAGGTAAGTGAAATACTCCTGGTTTTGACTCTGCTATTGCACAAGCCCTTTGTAAAGAGGCTGAGGGCACAAGGCTTATTTACATGGAGAAGAGACCCTGTTTGGAATGGAAGGATAGACTGAGGTCTCTTCCAACCTGAATTATCCAATGAACTTGTTGAGTCCTATAAGTTTGATAAAGTCTTCAAACTAAAAGCACTCTTACAAACCTGAGATTAGCTCAGTGGTCTGAGCATGGTGCTGATAACACCAAGGCTGTGGGTTTGATCCCTGATCCATTCACTTAAGAGTTGGACTTGATGATCTTTGTGGGTCCTTTTCAACTCAGAACATTCTGTGATTTCTGTGGAAAGAAGTCCTGCCTATTCAGAAGCAGATTGGTACCATGCCCTGAAAGTGCCTCATAGGATGCCGCTAGTCCATGGCCAAACAGCTCGGAGCTGACAAGTCCATTAGCTGTGCTCTGGAAATACAATCCTGTCAGAATTACCGTGATTGCACAACAAATATGGCTCACACATCTGGAGAAATAGCTGTCATGAAGGAAACAGGGTTCCCAGGCAGTCCCATGGCCCCTAATGGCACCTACAAGGCTGCTCTCCAGCCTCATGTGGAATATGAAGTATCCCAGCCGCCAGATATGTGCCCCTACCGTTGTGTAGATACTGACTGGTAATTGATAATGCAACAGGCAACTGCAGGATCCTGGCAAAATTAGTCTTGGACTGGTATCAAGGTAAGGTGAGTTGCCCATCTTACAGACAGATGGATGGGCCTGTCCAACTCATAAGATGTATTTCCTCGTGTGTAATTTTACAACACAAACCAGCATTCAGGTGTGTATTGTCATGGAGATAACGCTGCAAGGCAGAGTCCCATCTTGCCTCCACACCTGCTGATGTCACAGGTCCTTCACAGCATATACTGTTAAATATGGCATTATTTTCTGCAAGGAAATAATCGCCACTGCTTTACACCTCCTTCCCCATTATCTTCCTCATTTTCCAGACATATTTACTGAGAAGTTGCTAAGGTCACTTCTGGCAGAGCATAGAGTCAAACCCAGGACTCCTCTGTGGGCAGATAAAATTTCAGCTTTGGCCTTCCGCCTCATGGAGCTACAAAGATGTATGTGGCCCTGCCATATTCTGTACAGTAACCTAGGCACCCCATCCCCAACAGGCTACTGCTGCAGAGCGAGCGGTTATCTGCCACCAGCATATCCTGATTCACACAATTAGAGCACTTTCTCCATTAGCTGAAACAGTAGTGGGTTTGTGCTTGTGAATGTACCAGGAAATCAACCCAGGATGTCTTGAGCTCAGACACAAGCCATTATAATCTATCAGTTATATTACAACAAAACACAAGTGCTCCACATGCCACTCACCTCTCAATTGCTGCTGTCATGCAGGGGCAAGCTTAACATTTGAATGAAATATCCAGAAAAAATTCCTGGAGGTGTGCTAACACCTGACATCCTGCTGTAAAGAAGCAAGGTGCTCTCTCTTCAGCAGCCAGAGATCATCACTTGTGGTCTGGCTGTGGGACTCACAGATCTTGACTACCAAGTCAGTGCACCAAGTGCCAAAAGAGCCAGTGAGCATTTCGATGGGGTGTGCTGGTTAGCCCCCTGCCACGCTCTCTCAGACATGCCCTTCTCTCCTCCCTGCAGTATTTGAACACCTCTCAAGCACTGCTTGCAGCCAAAGCTGAATCCAGTGCTGGGCAGAGGAGTTGCCATGGAAGAGCCCCTGGAAAAGGATGCTTCAGAGCATGGTGCAAAAGTGTCTGCTGGTGGGAGCAGATTGGTGGGAAGAATCAGACTTTTCAAACTAAGGAAACTGGTGAGAAAGGTCTCTCAGATTTCCCACAGTTGAGGCAATAGGGCTGAGTTGTAGCTGTATTAATATGAACAGCACAGGAGATGCCGGGGTTTGTGGACCCAGCCCCATTTTGGGAAGGGAGGGCAAGGACACAGAGCTAATGAGTCTGCTGAAGTGTGGGGGGATTCTTTGTAGAGGCTTTTGTGTGCCTCAACACCATGCAATCCATCTGTGAGAGGTGGGAGCTCAGAGACAGCTGAGGTGACCCTCTGCAGAGCAGCTCTGTCTGGGGATGTCTCCTAACATGCATAATTTGTCCTCAGCTTTGTGACAGTAGAAACTGAGTACAGCTCAGGATGCCACCAATCCATTCAAACAATTGCCACAGCAAATCCTGGCTCTTAACTGCTATGGGAGCATCAGAGAATATCTAAAACTCATGTCCCATAGGTACCTACCTCTTACCCTTACATTAAACATATACAAAACCCTCCCACGGACTGTGCCAGCCACTTGTATGCTTCAGAGGACACAAGTTCCTGAGTTCTCCTATCCACACTGAATAATTTTGCTAGCCATTTCTCATCCTCCTAAGGCTGAGCAATCCGCTTGCATAGAACATGCTCGCACACACTTAGCTATTTGTCCCAGCCCTTGGCAGAGCCCGGGATACTTGCTAGAAGGCGTTCAGGAATTTTGCTGCCCAAAATGTGTTTGAATTATGTGAGTCGCTCCTGGGTCAGTGGGGGCTGGGTGTGGAACAGCAGCTCTGTGAGTCACCAGGGGCCTGTGAGACCAGAAGGAAATGTTGGCACAGCCTTATTTAGCTGCAGACCGTTGCGGTGCTCTGTACACAGATTCGGGATGTCTGTTCTGGTGGTGTATATGAGAAAGCTTGGGAGTTTGGACAGCTGACCTAGAACATAAACATGAGTTCAGGGACTCCTATAAAATGAGAAACTATGCTGTTAAGCAAGAAAATGTGCAACGTGTTAGTAAACACAGCTCACCCTAGAGACTAGCTGTTGTCATTGCTTAGAAA